TGCTGTGTGTGAGGTAATTTAAGGTGGTTCTGACAGGTGTCGTCGGCATCTTCATATCCGGTCACATGGGCGGCAAGCCACTCCCATCCAGTCACATGGGCGGCAAACCACTCCCACAAAGGAGGTCACACCCACAGAGTAGGTTCGAACAATTTTTGAAACCCACCACTAAGATACATGGATGGCGCCTTGAAGAACACCATGCCATGGGGATCTCTGTCATAGCCATATCTCCTAATTGTCAGGGACTCTCAAACTGTAGGATGTGTGTGGGGTGGGGTGTGTATGAGAGAGATTGGGGGGGGATCGTTTAAACATGATCAGGTTTGTCTAGGCAAAACTTAAAGACAACCAACATGAGCTGAAGAAGCTTCTAGGATAAGAAGGGAAACGTCTTCAAAGAAAAAACAGAAAGTCCAGTTGCCTCTTGAAAAAGCACCTTTGGGATAGCCAGCCCTTATTTTTTTTTGCTTTTGGTCTCCGTATGCTATACAGGTTAAAATTTCATGTATTATATTTATTTATTTATTTTTCATATTGCTCTATGGCCCATCAGATTACTGAGTATATTTATTTCTTGCCCAACTAAATCCCCTTTATCATTCATAGTAATGCAAAGTCATAGGCTCCCTCCCTGCCTAAAAACGCCTCCTCTCCTCTCCACAGCTTGGTACTTCCTGGAGTAAAGACAAAGTTTAAAGGTAGAGGGAAGGTGAAGACTCTGGAGCCATTAAAAAAACAAAAACCTCGTGCTAGGGTCTGAACTGAGACACAGAAGAGCATAGAAGAGTTTTCCCTAATCTGCCTGACTATCCAGCCACCCTTTTATCCAACCAATCTCTTTTTTTCCCCTCCCTTTCTGCTGATCTGATCTTTCCTTGGACTCAGTTCGCCCAAGATGGCTAAAAACCACAATTAAAACAACAGCCTAACCATTTTAATAACAGCTGCAAAGCAACCATCACATAAGGGAGGGAGAAAATGTAAATATAGTAACCATAAAAATAATGTAACCACCAGTGGTCTTAAACCTTCTTTAAAAATAAGTTTTGGTACTTTGCACAAGGCTATTTGAGGAGTTCCTTTCCTTTCCTTTCCTGTCCTGTCCTGTCCTTTTTTCTTCCCCCCTTCCTTTCAGTTCTTTCTGTTCTTGATGGTCCACCGGCATACATCTCATTTAATTCATTTTATGAATACATTTACATTATGCATATTTGAACATTTGTAATCTTCATCGTAAACGGCCATGAAGGAAGGCTTTCATAATAACCTCAAGAATCACCCAGTTCAAAAAATAAAGCTGTTTTTTGCACTCATACAATTAACCTCATTAATACTGTCTCCGTAGACTAAGGATTCACCTGTTGAGATGTTCGTATTATGATAAGGATTTTTCCCTCTCTTTGTTTAAAATCTCGACACTCTTACAATATGTATAATATTGGGTTAATATATCAATCATCATGGAAGAAATTGTGTTGAGAAGCAACCTGTCAAATGAGCTACGGATTCTTGCCTTCTCCTTTTCCATTCTTCTAAGCAGCCACATGGACACCAGGGGAATAAGAATGGTTGCTTGCCCATGTCAGGCATGTGTCAAATTGGGTAGTTAGGGCCAGGGGTTTTGAACACAAANTCAGCTCTTCCAGTTTCTGGCGCTGCTGCCAGCTAGTCTTCCAGTTACTGGCTCACATGCACGCACAACAATCAGCTGGCCAGCACACATGCTCATGTTGGAAAACAGAAGATCAGGTCTTTCAGTTTCTGCACTGCTGCACGCACGAAGTCCAGCTGATCACCATGCATGCATGTGTACCAGAAACCCGGAAGAGGAACAGGTGACACCGCGCATATCAGGCGACATGACTCCACGTGCCACTTCGGGCATGCGTGCCATAGGTTTGCCATCATGGTCCTAGGCCATAGCAATCCAGAAGTCCAGGTAGAATTTGATCATGATAGAATCGTTCCCTTGCTCAGCTGTAACCCCTGGACGCCTAATTTCTGTTTGCCAAAAATCGGTTTTCTGTCATTTGTTTCCCTTTAGACAGTGCAAACAATGTGAAAACAATACGGTTGGCCAATTTTGTTTGGTTTAATTGCATTTCCTGAGCTGGGGGGAAAAAAATAATTCCCTTGTGCTGGAGTTCTCACTGTATCATAAGCTTCCCTAAGGGGACCCTAGGAACTGTGA